TACAAGTGCTTACCAGGCCCCAAAATCTATTTTGAAGCGACAAGGGCGTGTAATTGCTGCTAACTGGATTGTTTCTATGCCCGTTGCGCTCAGAGGACGCAGGGGATAATTATGCGTGACAGGCTCCTTCCCCGTATCACAGGAGGCGCCCATGTGACACTCCGTGACGGAAGCACCGTACGGTGGTAGATGCTGGGACGTCCGATCGGATCGAGCCCTCCGCGACACTGGCCAGGATCGTCTCTGAAATGCGCAAGTGGCACTCAGCTGCATAGTTGAAGTCTATCGGCACTCACGTTTGAGGCTTTTTATTCTCGGTAACGCATTAGCTGACTTCCGCCAGTGTGCATGATACTCAGCGCGAGCACCAGCCTCAGTCGTCTTGCGCTCGGAGCTGCCGGTCAGGCCCACAACGGGCCCTTAGAGTGATTACTGAGGCCATATAGAGGATTAGGGCTCTTAGGACCGGGACTAATCTAATTTACATCGAATTACTCTGGGAGGTTTTTCCTGATGAAGTTCTGTCCTGTCGAGTCTTCTCGGCTAAATCACTGATGCTCAGCTCTTGTTAGGACGAAGACTATTGTACTTACCTCGTCCGCTTCATAGGACACCGGTCGTTGAACCTGCCGAGCCTGAAGCTTACTTCATGAACGATCGAATGTCCGGTTGACTGGGTGAAAGGCCCCGAAGAGTCAAGGCATAGTTCGGTCGCTTCGTCCGTGCTCAGGCTTCAGGAAGCGGCTGCCCCGAATGGTCCTTTGACTGCTTTGGTAGGTCGGGATTCTCACCGTCATCTCGAGCATGTCGGACAGGCCAAGCCAACTCAAAGCCAACGGCATGAAAGCCTTCACCGTTGAGTTCTGTCTGTACATGTCATGTTCAATGACGCGTCCAAGCATGAACTGACCGATCGCCAGTGTGCGCTGTAGCGAAGTCGGTTGCGGCCCGACTCTTGTTGGATGAATTCACCGGCTTTGCGGTCCATTGCCTGTCTCGTATGCGCATCACCATCGCCAAGCGGCTTCATTCGCTTTGGTAATGGTTCAGGTCACGCCCGTCCGAGGCGTACAATGCTTCTCAGCAACTTACCATCACCGGGGCCCGTCCGGACTTAACTTGGCCGCTCTGTCAAGTCAATGAGCCTTGAAGTGTTAGCAGCCTGGCAAAAGCGGGTAATATGAGCTCAGGCCCGTTCCGAGGACCGAGCCGTTTATTGAACCATATGTCACTCTAGATACGGACGTAGTTCCGCCCTTTCCAATGTGACAACCGCTATAGCTCCCACTTGGCCCGCTTTCCACCCATCCATGGGACCCTCTGGGGCGTTTCTAGCCTCGTGGGTGGACCCACAAAGGGCTCTCGGACCGATATCACCCAGCAAACTTGCCGAAAGGGTTCAGCATGGTGGTATTTTCTGCCAATCATGGTACGCTCGTTCGTTCTGTCAAGGCCTTTCTTGCGCCGCGGGACTTCTCAACGATACCGTAACCTATGAAGCTGACTGACATCTGCGATTTTAATAGCGAACCTGGTGTTTTGGGAAGTTCCTCACCCGTTGGCCAACAACGCGGTGGCCAACGCGCCTGAGCACGGTGCAGACCACGGTGGTGGCATTGACAAACGTAACAATCTCCTTCGCCTTTCGTCTGATTACGTGGGATGCATCCGGACGCAGAAGACATATTTCCATCGACCAATGAATTGAGCAGGCACGACAGCGTTTTGACTGTCGGGAGGAAGATGAGTACCCGATAAGTGACGCACCGAGGCACAAAACGCTCCTTGCGGGCTTCTGTGGCAGGATCCTCGGCGGATGCAGTGCGTCCCGCCTGCTCTCTTATGTCGATCTTCTGCACCCGCCTCCCTAACAAGCACTCCTCCTTCATCGTTACTCGTCCTGTTCTCGCGCCATGTCGTCCGCGGTACAAACGAATCCTCCATCGCCACTCAACCCGCGCGCTAAGTTATCCCCGCCTACCATAGCGTGCTTTCTATATCCCAACCTCCCATGCGCGTGTCGAGCTTCTGGCGCGTGGACAGAAGAAGCCACCGGTAGAAGGTGCTCGTACTGCACGTCTCAGCTTGCTTAGGATGCCGGAGTACCCAAACCGGTCTTCGTATGCTTTGCAACGGCCTCCTGTGTTCTCTGCCGCGGTGCCGGCCCCTGGAAGCATTCCTCGGCCTCAGTATGGGCTCACAAATAACAGGACTGCATACACCTTCGCTTCGCAAGGCAGAAGGCATTGCAGCCTTTCGTTGAGGTACGTCATCCTGACCTTACCGTGTTGCGCGCGCGGAAATATGTGAACATGAACTCCTCGGCCAGTGGCTCATCGGAGTCGTGGCACACGTAGGTGAGAGTCTGATTTGTTGGCAGTAGAGTTCATATTGGAAGATGAATGCCGTGCACGCAAAGCTCAGTCTTCCCTCTGGTCGCTGGTGAGAGATGCGGATCCAACGTTGATCACTGTAGTTGGAACGGCGTACACGCCAGAATGGATTATCAAAGTCCCGTAGAACGGTGCCGTTGGTATAAGCTAATACACAACGCGTTGCATATCCCTCCTCCCGTACGTTACCAAAAAATGTTACACCTTCACTTCCTTGCCCTCCTGAACCAAGACGCCACTCACAAGCTCTGGCAGAACGTCTTGCCACGCGCAACCTGTACTCTGCACAGCTCGATCTCCGTTGGCACCGCGACGAGCGAGGCCATGAGGATACCCGCCGAGTCGGCAAGCCCAATAGAGCCGATCTTGAACTCGCGCTCCTGCTTCGCGCGCTCGGCATCCATACCAGGCGTGTCGTGCCTCTCCTGGTTGATGCGGTAGAACACGTTCACGCTGCATCACCACAACCAGTTCAGTCAACCATGACAGCGAAGACGTGCGGCGCGCAGGACAAAGCATTGAACGCACTATGCAAGCCCGCCACATATCCCCTCGACTGCGATGAGCAGGAAGACAAACGCAAAGCTCCACCCCTCGCGAGCGTCATCGTCTCCGAAGATGCCCACTGCGCTCTCGTACGCCAGTGTGCTCAGGATCACACCCTGGACGATTGCAGGAAGGGAGAGCAACCGACCCGGGAGAGGAGGAAGTCCGAGAGAGATGGAGGAACGTGAGAGGAATACGGTACTCTGATATATTAGCTGTAGCGAAAGTATTAGTGAGTACCTACGAAGCGAAGTAAGGAAGGAGAGAAAAGTGATCGAACCTGCCAGAGAGGGTAGTAGTCTCGGATGGAGTGGATGAAAAGACTCATGAACCAATGCGAGTCTCTCGAAGGGACTGGGTATACTAGCGTAGGCGAGATTCCCTACAAAAGGTCAGCCACGACACTCCAACAACCACTGAACCGCTCACCTGATTGATAGTATACTCGAACTACGGCTAGCGTCAGCGCTATGGGTTCGGCTGGAGGCGCTCAATACTCACCAGATACACGCAGACTGCAGGCGCAGCTCGTCAGCTGGCGTTCAGTAAGGCGAGAAAACTGCGACGCTCACAAAGGGGAAGCATATATCTCGTCAACATAGGCTTCGCGAGCCGCCACTTGTCCTCCATCGACAGTGCGATCGGAGCCTTCACTATCGCTTCCGGTTCTGTCACCGGTACGGTGTCCTCCTCGCCCCGCGGCAGAGGAGTGTATGATGCAGTCATCGGCGCATCATCAATGTCATCGTCACCTTCGGGAGCGAACGTTCGCCCTGCAAACATGTCTGGTCGCGGAAGTACAAGGAAGTATGTGAGCGGGATGACAAAAGGTAGAATCTGTCGAGGCCGATCAGCAAGTTTGTATCTCCTCGACGTCTTATAGATGTGGACCTACCGCAGAAAGGCCAACTCCCACGCGAACACCCAATCCTCTCAGCTCCCACCAGAGGAATGCGCCGACAAGACCTGCCCCGCCCGTGCCAGAGGCGAAGTAGCCCACGCTATGCCCCGCCACAGATGGTGGATGATACCGCGTCGAGAGCTGCAAGAACGTTAACTCCCCGAGCCCTACCCTCCTTTCAGCAAGCATCGTACATAGGTCTCACGACCGACATACCTGACGAGAAGGACGCAAGGCATATGCCGAGCAGTCGCATGTAGAGGCTATCGAAGAGTGCGACGACCATCATGCCGCATACGCTACAAGCGGTGCAGCCAATGAGACGGCGCGCGTAGCGTATCCGTCCCTTGAGGAGGTACGGCCAGCCAAGCTTGGCAACGAGCGCAGGGAAGATATTGCAGAATGCAATGATGCCCTTCGGGGTGGATGGTGGAACGAGGTCAAGTGCGGCCGACAGGATTATAACATAGAGTACTGCCAGAATGGACTTTGGATATAGCGTGTTGCGAGAATCGCAGGGAAACGGGGATGGTACTGACCGTTATTGATTAAGCCAAACAGGAAGAAGGATAGGCCCAATCTCAGGAGTAGTCTGCGAGCTTCTGCATGAGTATCGTGGTCAGCATGATAGACAGACGAAGATGGTTAGGCACATTACAGCCAGCTCTCATCGCTACCACACTCGGGAACCCCTCAGGGCTATCTGGGAAGCAAGCTATGCTGTGGCTCGGCTCTCCCGTCTCCTCTCTTCATTGCGCTCAACTCACCTGGATTCCGTTGGGTGCATCGTGGCGTATCGTCACCGATGGACAGCAGCGCAGCTGCTTCAAGTTCGCCGCCCTCCTCTGAGACGCCTTGGCGTGGCCCTGCGGGCTCAAGGCCTCCGTATGTCATGGCGCGGTATCTGCAGGCCTTCAGGGTTTCTATAGCGTAGGGTCAAGCCACCTGCAGGCCACTCTCGGGAATAGAGTTGATCCAAGACTGAAGCTTCCGCGACTTAAAATCGACCCAAGTATTCAATGTGTGCAATGACGGTAGGTCCGAGTGCGGTATAAGCTGGCTGTAGTGTACAGATGGTGGTACTAGCCAAGAGAGGTGTAGAGCCCGGGCCCCGAGTGCCAGTGATGACGCCGGAATGTCGAGGCGGTAGTAAACAAAAAGAGCTTGGCCGGGAATTGAACCCGGGACCGCCTCCAAACGCTTGATAGCCCTAAGAAGGAATCATACCACTAGGCCACCAGGCCAGTATCGGTCGCTTTATTAGCATGTTTATGCAAAGAAGAAGCAGCTGGCCGCGGTTGTTTAGGAAACACTACTAGTACTGCCGTTGTACAACAGTACAGCAGTACGAGTTCTGCACGAAACCGCGATGCTAGTAACATGCGTACCGACGAATGGCCCATCATGCATGACATGCATGACACCGCAACCTCTTGGGCCAGAGCGGCTTGACGTTCACGGTTAGATTCTGCTGACTCGGCGGCGAAATTCTCCCTTCCCGGCACTGACAGCATGGGCATGCACAGTCCGGACACCGAGCCGTAGCAGCGTGGCGGTCGCAGATTGAGTTCATTCACGATTCACGACTCACGATGCAGCGACTGCGTTACAGCCTTCATTCGCATGCTCAAGGTCAAGCCCACCGCTGCAGCTTGCTCTCCGTGCGCGATGTCGTCGACCTCCCCAGCCCCTCATCCTTCCCTTGGTCCCGGCACAGGATATGCGACGCAACGCCCATTCCTATCTGCAAATGTGTTCCAGTTTAGAGAGGCTTGGATGGAGGAGCTACAAACCGCCGACAATTACGCTAAACTAGAAGGCTCTCTTCGGGAGGCGGATGTCTCCCATGACGTCCGTCGTCTGAACTCATCCATTCTTGAGATGAAGGACGCGTTTCGCAAGCTCTCTTCAAGCTTTGCATTGCACGACTGCCAAGTGCAAGAGATCGATCGTCAAAGCGGAGGTTCAACCCCGGTACCACCATTGAAACCTCGATGGGACAAATTGCGCGAGGTCAGTGGGGCAAGTACTGCAAGGGCCGCGCTGTGCGCTCACTGGCTTGACTTCTGACGGTCTCACTAGCGTTTCACCGTGCTGCTGGACAGTAGCCACGCCAACGCTAGGAAGGCCTCCGCAACTCTAAAGCGTAAGATACCCATCAAGCGATCTCGTTCACGCTATCTGAAGGCCGGGTTTTGTAGAATACGTCAACCTGTTTACTGATAGTAACATCAAGGACTCGCGCAACTACGAGGCTCTTAGGAAAGAGATCGACAACTTGCTCACGGTGATTGTTATTCCCTCACAAACATTGGCAGCTTGCCAAACGCAGGATCGATACTGATGTTTGTATCGCAGGTCGTACAATCCCGGATCAAATGCGCTCAAGGTGCCGAGGACAGCTTTGCTTCACTCGCAAATAATATTCGAGACTTCGAGGGGCATGTCCACAATGCGATCATGGCGGTGAAGGCGCAATCCAAGGTCGTCTACCAGGCCCTGGAAGAATCCAGCGACAAAGTGAGGGTTTTGCGTTGCCAACTCGCAAAGTACATGATGCATCCGGCTATATCCACTCTCTTCGGGTACTAACAACGTGCATGCTTGCATTTCAGGGCTTCTGACGAGGTACGTGCGCAATATACGCTCGACACCGATTGTGTACCTGACTTCGATCTCTCTCAGCTGGTCGAGCTTGGGATAACACTGATTACATGTCTGTCCACTGGAGCGATATCTGCTGGAATGCTCTTCCTCAAATTCTCCCCTGAGACCGCGCAAACGGTGGTGGTAAGTTCGACTATATGTATCACCTGGCATGCGGACTGACTTGCGCGATTTGAGACTTCTCTGATTTCGTCCTTCTCACCTGCGAAGGCTGCATCCATGAAGCTCGTAGAAACGATCAGTGAGGTTCTACAGGTCGTGATATTTGCACCGTTGCGTTAACATCTCGCCCGCCTGCAGAGCTGAAGAAGTCGCTTCGGGAAAGTGAACGGACGCTGGCGGCAATGCAGCGGAGATTCGGAGCCGTCAAGTTCCTGGAAGACTCGTTGCTCCACGCGGCTCATAGCATGGACACATTGGCAGGACGAGTCGACGCCCTGTCAGATATATGGTATCTGGTAAGTCGCACCGCCTGTGATACCTCGCGCATCCATAGTAACGTTTTCATCCAGCTCAAGACCGACATGTGCGAAATCCGTTCAGAGCTATGTAGGATATTGGACGGAACGCCGCCTTCACAGGTACTGATCCTAACTCCTGACTGTACAATAGATGCCCGACTGAGGACCTGTATCACAGATGTTCGCTCAGAAGCTTCGCGTTACACGGGGCGTATACCGTAGACTGATCGAAACCCTGGATATCTATGCCAGAGGAACGGCCTTGTGACCTGAAGGGGTCTTGCGCTACATAGGCCGTGCCCACTGTATCTCTGCGTAATAACATGCGCGAACGCAGTCCCAGATACGATCCTGTTTGTGGCCATCTCTGGCGAATCTCCCATGCTCCATCGTGCTACAAGATGCCAGATCTCTCCAGGTCAATAAGCGCAGTATACAAGTATAACCTCTGTGCAGCTTCGCGCTGCCCGATACATAGTGTCCCGAGGACCCCTGATACATACGATGCGTAGTCCGAATCCACCTATGCGACCGCTCTGCAATGGCCTTGAATGTGCGCACATAGCCCTAAGCGACATGATCATCTAGAGCTGCGATGAAGGCCTTCGCCGAGGGCAATTAAGCACTCTTTCCATTGCACCGAGGTTGCCTCGACACGAGCATGCATATTCTCGAGGGCGTTCCGCTTCCCCTGTCGCGCAACGTCATACTATCAGCTACACACCCAAGACACGTGTAGTCTCTGAACGATGCAACTCACAGCTGTTTGCATCTCTTTGTATCCCGCAAACGCGTTGATGTAAGCCGTTATCTCGTTTCGAAGCTGAATCGTATGCATTTCAGTTGAGGCATGCGAACAACGACTCGCAGATACTCACATGGTGCGCGAGTTCGGAGAACGTGTCGAATTTCGGAGCTAGCCTGTCCAACTCGTTCAGGACACAGGTGATGGCTTGCGAGAGCTCGCGGAAGGCCTCCTCGTCGAGGGGATGAGTACGTTGGTCCGTTGATTCGATTGACGCCAAGTTGACGCTCCCTTCAGGGGATCACAGACGCATTTCAAGTTATGGGTGAGTCCGAGACGTAGTGCAGATTTGAGGTATGCTTACCTGTCGTCCTGCGTTTGCGCACAGACAGTTGACTCTTGATACCTTTGGTGTTCACGCGGGCGACAGTGGAAGCGGAGGGTGGCGTTGGGTGACTTGTGGGTGCGGATTGAGTGCCTTTGGTATCCACGCGGGCAACGGTTGAAGAAGTAGGTGGAGCCTGTTGACTTGTCGGTGCAGTTTCCGTCTCCTCATCGAAATGTTCGATTTTCCCACAAGGCCCAAACGAGATTCTGCGCTTGACTGCAGTCTTCACGTTCATACGGAGTCCAGTGGGATCACTCATAGCCCTTGCTTTCGGGGAATCTTTGCGCCGACGGGTTGCTGGCTTAGCGGTACTTGTGGCCGGCCCATTTCCGTTTCGTGTCTTTCTGACCCTCATGACTGCAGCATACTGAAAGACCCTGGGAGCTACCACTGAGGATAGACACACTGGATCAACGAACTGGGAACGTACTGTAGCATCGCTGCCTTCAACCTTGTGTCGCCGCCCGTGGCGTCCGATAGCCTAATCGGATGATATGTCAATGACGTGTGCAGACGTCAGTGAATCGCATGTACGTACGCCGACATAGGTTCTTCACTGACAAATGTCGCGCCTGGCAACATCACCTGGGCGGACCCCTTGATCGACCGGCCGATGGCTCCATTGGGCTGAGTGCCGGTACTCTCGAGCATGTCTGGGGTGATATTGCCGTACGATTTCGAGATTTCATCGCGTAACTTCTGGCATGACGCCCTGAAGTCGAAGCGATAGCTCTCGAGCATCTGTGATTGACAGTGGACACTGGCTTAGGATGTGACGATGACAGCGAGAGATGGAATTGCGTACCTTCAGCAGGCTTGATAGCTCAACGATCATGTCATCGCCCGTAGTTTCGTGCTTCTTCTCCTGTAGGACAAGGTACGCTATTAAAATGTTAGTACATGTTCATACTAGCCCGCATGACGCTGCTAACTCTTGATCACCGCGCGCAGTTGGCTTGCAGCTTTAGACGCGCCTGCCACGGTCTGTTCGTACGTCTGAGAGTCGTAGCGTTAGCGACAGAGATGAGTACAAGATGCAGAGACATACCTCTATATACGTCCTCCAATCGTTCAACGCAGTATTCAAGTTCGTGCGCGCAGCTCCCGTTCGCGCGACGACGTCACGCAAAATGCCCTGTAGTTCTTGAGAATCTAGTCTGAGGTCTCGTAGATCAGATAGACAGTTCGTAATGGGTCCTCCTCGCGATATTGGCGATCCAGGAATGTGAGGCATTGCTCCGCGTTCTGCGGCCGAGATGGTGTGGAGGTTGTGGATTTGCTTCTTATTGTGGTTAGACGCGCTGGGCCTGCCCAGTATGAGAGTGCCTTGCGGAATGTTGGTACGCGACGACATTGAGAGGAAGGTTCGTGTCGGCACGTTGCACCAGTAGAACACTTATATTCCTGACATGGAGGCGGTCACGGTCTCTTCTACGTGGACGCGTGGTGACCGCCCACAAGCAGTCAGCTAAAGTGAAAAGAGCACCTTGCATCGCAGAGTGCCCCAAGCCATGGAGGCTACCGAAATGCAATTTGCGCGGCGGTTGTACAGCTCAACGCAGCACAACGCGCATTTGCTAGCAGGGCCAAAGTTCACGAAGACGCGAGTGAACCGCGTGGTTGTGATAGGCATCGAGCAGCGTGTTGCGTGCGCAGGTGGAAAGCACGCCGTTTCCTCCAGTTACATCTGAAACGCTCAGAAAGACGGTGAAAGTGTTAGTGGCCGTGCGGCTGAGCGACGCGGGTATGCGCAGTGAGAGGAATGAGGATGATCATCGACTCGACGTTTGCAGCGTGGTGGACGGTAGCGGCACAGCCACCGGAGCACTCCGCCTCAGGCTAGCCAGTTCAAGAATGAGCGTTCCTAGGCCTCACTCCCGCGTCCTATACAATCGCTGACCATCTCAGGCACTATCGTCCACCTGCATCCAAGTCGCCTGTTCGAACAACTCCGAGCGACCCATGCTAAAGCATATCGCGATT